GAGTTTGGAGGAGCCGGCCATTCGGCATAACAATTGATTAATAATCAGCATTAAATAATAATTAATTAAACTTTCATTAATTCAAACATATTGGTGGAGATATTAAAATTTACCTGAGCTAATAATTCCTACACAAAGTAACGTCAGCTAACAAGATACAGCAGCTAACTAAGTTTAGCAAAGGAATAGTTCCAGTCCTGGTGGTTATGGCAGAGCTAGCTAGCTAATGCTATGAATGGGCTCTTTCCATAGGCATGTTATAGATGGGAAAACACAAAGAATACTGTTAATTACCTACTTATTCTGCACTCTGCTCGGCTGCAGAGCCTCCTTTTAATTAATATTATTAATTATAATGTTTTTCTATCTATGATGGGTCTGTAGAAAGAGTCTATTGAGAAAATAACAGCCATTTCCTCACTGCATGCATGTAGCTGAGTGACAGTGAGAAATTGAGCACATTAATTCCCATTATAATTAAGGAAGCCGTCCTCACTGGCTGGCAGTGAGCGGATCTGTGCAGTAATCTGACGGACACCCAGTGCCGATTTCTGATGTGCTGCAATGCTTTTCTCATTATGGTAGAATACAGCATAGTGTTTAGTCCCCTGTCAGTGTTAGAAGTGGTAAGCTGTTTACCGTGGTGTGGTAAGCTGTACTTATGCCCGCCCAGTTTTTATATGTCACTGGAATGAGCAGCTTCCCCAGATCATCAGCAAGCGCCAAACCTGCTCTCACCCGACCGCATGCCGTTGCAGGTGCTGAGCGCATCTTTTCACTCACTGGTGTCAATAAAACTAAAACAGGAAACAGTCTGAGCCTAGATGGCACCTCGTCATCCATTGTGACAGTCAGAGTGGGTGACATTAATCTTGATGGTCACAAGGGGGAGCCACCAATGGGCGTCATTAGAGCAGCTAAAAGTGCAGCGACCAAACACAACAAGGGGGGGCGCTAACTGACACTTATACACTGAAATGTGCTGAACCACACAAGCACTTAATGTACAAAGGACCAGCGTTCAAAGACAAAGTGATGTGTAATGTTGGTAAATACAAACAAAGATGTAGCTCCTTACCATTTTATGTTTTTACCTAATGCCCCCCCGAACTCCACATCACTCCAAATCTCACTACAACAAATTCCTCAAAGCTGACAGCCCTGACAGTGTGTTGAATATTTTACCAGAATCTGCTACTTTCTCCTGATTTACTGCTGATGTTTCATATACATTAATGATATTTAAACTTACCTGTGAATACAGCTATGATGATGATGGTGCTTCCTATTCTCCGAGCCAGATATATATTAGTGCCTGATACATCTGTAAAAAAATAATTGTTTTTTATAATAAAACACAGGGTGTATGAACATCAACTGCATCAATGTCACATCAGTGACCCCTAATTATTGGGAAACATTTAATCCAAATTTAGTGTTTCAGTGGTCTGACAAATCACAACATGCACCCATGATATTACACTCATACTGTCAAAAACATTTATAAGAACTGTACAGTGCACTGTTAGACCATGATATCAACAGTGACTGGGCTGCAGGACAACCAGCAATCATATGGAAATCACAGCAAGAAACATACTGTACAGTAATTTATTATAATAGTTAATATTTTTATTACACCTTTGTTTTACAGTGTATACTGGAAACAGAATGAAGCATATCAGAATAAGTTTACATACCTGGAAATAATTGTTCTGTGTCCATAAAAAACAACATCAGGATACTCAGCAGAGCGACGACAGTACAAGTAACAGCCTCTTCTGTGGATCCTGAGAAACACCAGTAACACAAGATAACATTCAGGTAACGTTTGGTAGGATTCAGAGACAGTTCTGCAGAATGAATCCCAGTTTTCCTGTCTCAACTTGGTCTTGCTTTGCTGTACTTCCCAGTGCATTAATGGTGACATGACTGACTGCTTCCATTTAAAATTCTAGAATTAGTCACCAAGTGGAGCTTCTTCTGTTGTTTAAATGGTATGTTTATCTGATCAAGTATTTTGTTCCTCTTTATTCATTCAGGTAATGAAGAAAAGCAGATACTAATTCAAAACAAGCAGTAACTGCACAAAGCCACACAAAATATTTACACTGGCAACAAATAATCCTTTGGTAGATACCAAAATTTAAGCAGTTACATTAAATGTTAAAGGATGTAAAGATGTTTATCAATTTTAAAGACAAATCAAAACAAATAACCAAAGAAAGTAACTCATCGCTGTTATATTAATTCCATTGGTGTACCCGAGGTAAATCTGGTCTTATTTTGTTACCGTAGTAACTAGTTTAGATAATTCATTGTTATTCACAAATACAAAAATTTACTAGTGAAATTCCTGATCTCTCCTGGATCTTCAGCCAACTAAATGTCATCAATCCATTTAATTTACTACTGCTGCTCTGTTGCCCATAAAACATTTAACTCACATGAAAGAAATAATTTAAATCTATCTGCTTTTAAGTCGTCCTTTAAATAAATCAAAGTATAAGTATGTATAAACCATATTTAAAGGGCTCACCTTCAGTGACACCCCACAGGATGAATGCTGAGGAAACCATGACTGGTGGAACTGTGACAAGTGACCAGTGACTCAACAGAGCCTGTCTGCCTTCACCTATAGACAGGAAGTAGGACCAAATGTAACCACCTGCTCTTTAACATTAAATGATGGTTCATGCAAAGTTCAATGACCTACAGTCATCCTCAGATGGTCATTCTGCTGCATCCTCACCTACAGACGACCAGTACAGACTGTCAGTCTCCACAGACTCAGCTCCTGAATTATTTTTTGTGTAATTTTAATGAGGACATCAGCTTTGGTTCATTGTTTTGGTTTGCTGGGGTTTACAGTGATAAAACTACTTCATATTCACACATATGTGTTTGGTACCAGAGACAGAGGATCAAAGCCTGTTAATTACATCACAGTTAAGCCCTGCAATAGACAGGCACCCACGTAGATACAGTCCCTGCCTGATGCCCCATGTCTGCTGAGATGC